TCCGGCAGCGCCTTCCTCTCGCCGACTACCTCCGCTTTCCCGCCGTTTGCAAGCGTTTTGCCGCCGCCCATCGCCATCGTCCTCCTCCTTTCTCCGACACCGAGTTCCCCTGGCTCCTCTCCTTCTTTCACGGACTTGAGTTCGCCTCCACTGTCTCCCTCTCACCCGACGGCTCTCTCCCCCCCAGGGTCTACTCGATCCCCCTCCCCAAACGTTTCCATGACTACTCCGTCGTCTCCTCAGACGGCCACCTCCTCATGATCGAGAACCACGATTACGAGTCCCCACAAGAGGCTCTGTGATCGTCACCTTCGATCCTGGGCCCAATCGGCTTACTCCCTTCTTCAACCTCCTATCCGCCGACCCGTCAACACCCAATCTGTCCAGTATCACTCGCCAGATCGCTTCACGAACGGCCAGGTGGCCGTCGCCGCCATTTGGATATAATCTAGGCTACACTAGGCTGGGAATCGATCGCGCCTGGATCGAGTTGAAGGACACTCTAACCAGGGACAGATTTCAAGATGTCGTCGCGTATAAAGACGGCCTGTTCTGTGCCTTGGATTTTTACGCTCGCAAAGTCGTCGCTCTGGATTTCTCTTCGCCCCCGACCGTCAGATTGACGGACCTGACGCTGAATCTTCCAGCTTACCGGGACCGTAACGACGGATGGACTTGTTTCCAGGAAGCGCAGCTCGTCAACTCGTCATCCAAGCTCTTTCTCGTTCGATGGAGGAGCCTGGTCAAGGTAGGAGAGACAAAAAGAAGAGAAGTCGACGTTTATAAGCTGATGGATGTCAGCGGCGACGATGCAGACAAGAAGTGGGTTCCCATCAGATCCCTTGGCAACTCCTCTTTCTTCCTCGGTCTCAATCGGTCAATCTCATTATCCACGGCCACCTTCCCCAAATTAAGGACCAACTGCATCTACATCCCTTGGGACGCCATTTACAGGATGCCCCCTGAGAATGACATGTATTCTGCCACCTCGGAGGAGGAGGACGACGAAGACCACCGCACTTATTTGATTTATGATCTGGGAGATCAAGGCTGGGACGAGTATTACTCGTCTTCTGATGAGTTGTTCTATGATCTATGGATGACGCCTCGTTTGCCATCAAAAAGTACCTGTTAATTTTATTTTATTTTTCTGTTTCTTGGAAACAAGTCCCAAGCCTCCTGCAGCATTTATGATTGATTGTTGTAGTAGTGTGTTTGATGGTAGAGTGGCACTACAGGCACACCATGTGCCACACCCTCAGCCACACTTCACTCTCCATGCTACAGTAACCGGGGGCCCACATGCAGATTTATTATAAATCTCATGTGGGCCCCGGTTAACTGATAGCAGGGAGAGTGATAAGTGTTGGCCTGTAGGTGTGGCACATGGCTGGCCTGTAGTGTATTTTGTTGATGGTCAACACATTTTCAGGGATATGTAACTTTATTTCTCATTTCATTGTCACTCGAGTGGTTATATTGCGATTCACTAAATATTTTCTATTTCGCCAAATTTTCCAGTTCCAATGTGTCCTTGTTTTGCATTTTGTTTCACTACACACAATTACTCCTGTAACCGGAGTTCATGGTATAGAGGATCGATGTTTCACCAACGCTCATGGTCTACACATAGACACATGTTGAGCACGCTGGTGCGTGCAGCCGCGATCTGGAACTTCCGATACATTTCAGATCTCAAAGCAGTAGACAGTCTGAAACTTTTGATATACTTCAGTTCTCAAAGCAGTAGATAATTAATCTCGTCTACAACTTTAGACGATTGCGGAGCCGGAGGAGCGGGGCCCTCCTTATCTCCAACATATGTCGTAACCTTCATTTCTCCGCTACCATTGTCATCGTCACATCTACACAAATATCAATTCAAGAATGCATGCACATAGGTAGGGATATAAGCAGAGAAAGAAGGGTGCTCACCAATCTCGCCAATTTCGCAGTGACTGCACCAACCGTGAGAGGGGCAAGGGGCAATTTAAGGAGATAATTTATTCTATTATGATGAGTACAATTACTATAACATGACAAAGAGACGAGTACTCTACTACAAAGAAAAGGTCTGCTATGCACCATTGCTGATTCGCATGCTACATCTCATATTAGCTAAATGTGTGAACGTACTGCTACGGTACATAGTGGACCTTTTATCTGTAGAGTACTTGTCTCTTTGTCATGTTTTAGTAAGGGGCTGTTTGCTTGCCAAAAAAAGAAGGAAATCAAGGAATAGAAAACCTATTTCCTTAAATAATTGTTTTATGGTTGTTTGGTTGGTTAAAAAAAAGAAGGAAATCAAATAAGGGGCTGTTTGTTTGCCTAAAAAAAGAGGGAAATTGAAGAATAGGAAATATATTTCTTAGAAATTTTATTTTGAGGTTGTTTGTTTGGAAAAAAGAAGAAGGAAATTAAAGAATAGGAGATGAGATGAGATGAGTTGTCGTCATATTATTGGATGGTGTGAGTGATTTTTTAAGAAAACTTGTTTTTGAGGTTGTTTGGTTGACTAAAAAAAAAATAAGGAAATGTATTATAAGAAACCTATTTTTTATAATAGGTTCTTTTCTTGTATTTGGTTCAATCTTAAAAATAAGAGATGAGATGAGATGAGATGAGTTGTTATTATATTATTGGATGATGTGACACACACTTAAGGAAATCAATTTTCTTGTTTTTTTGAGGAAATGAGTGGAGTTGAAAGTTTAAGGAGATGAGATGAGTTGTCACCATATTATTGGATGATGTGATTGATTTTTAAATATGAGATGAGATGAGATGAGATGAGTTGGATGATGTGATGATAAAAATAATATTTTATTAGATGTTGGATGATAAAAGTAATATTTTATTGGATGAGTTAGATGATAAAATAATATTTTATTAGATGAGTTGGATGATAAAATAATATTTTATTGAATGTTAGGGTAAGTTTTAGGGATGAAAATGGTTGAAAATAGGAAATGGGAGATTTCCATGCTCTCATTTCCTATTCTTGGTTTTTAGGAAACCAACCAAACATCCCCTAATAGGAGATGAGATGAGATGAGTTGTCACAATATTATTGGATGATGTGAGTGATTTTTTAAGAAAAGTTATTGGATAGTTGTTTGATTGGCTAAAAAAGAAGGAAATCAAAGAATAAGAAACCTATTTCTTATAATAGGTCCTATTCTTGTGTTTGGTTCAATCTTAAAAATAGGAGATGAGATGAGATGAGATGAGTTGTCATTATATTATTGGATGATGTGACTCACACTTAAGGAAATCAATTTCCTTATTTTTTTGGAGGAAATGGGTGGAGATGAAATGGAGATGAGATGAGATGAGTTGTCACAATATTATTGGATGATGTGAGTTATTTTTAAAGATGAGATGAGATGGAGATGGAGATGAGATGAGTTGGATGATGTGACCCATAAAAGTTGTTTGGTTTATTTTATTGGATGATATGAGATAAGTTGTTGGATGAAAATAATATTTTATTGGATGATGTGGATGAGTTGTATGATGAAAATAATATTTTATTGGATGTTGTGGGTTAGTTTTAGGGATGGAAATGGTAGAAATTGCATTTTTTTGATTTCCATGACTCAATTTCTTTTTTTTTTTTTGGTTTTTAGGAAACCAACCAAAGAGCCCCTAATTGTATTCATGTCTCAAACTAAATCAAATATCAAGATATAGCAAACTAAATTAATTAATTAATCATTAATTAAAGTTAGCTTTCTCATCTTCTCAAGAACGTGAGAAATTCTTAGGCTAAAATCTCTTTCCATTTCTTCATAACGGGTCTTTTTATTCTTTTATAAAAAGAGACCCTATGAGGAGAAAAAAAACACAAAAAAAAGAAAATTGTTCCTTTCTCTTCTTCTTCTTCTTCTTCCTCCTCCCTCAAATATTTGCTATAGTTTTTCGGCTGCATAATCAAGGTCTTCATCCTCAAGATGGTCATGCACACTAGGACTCTAGTAAAAAAGAGATCATATCGCAAAGGAGTGTCTCACCTCAGCTAATCGCATGAGATCTGCAGATATCTCTTAAGGGCAGTGGTTTGTCACGCTTTTTTCGAGGCTGATAAAATTATTCTTTTAATTTTTCTTCAACAAATAATAATATTTGTGAATTCTAGTCTAACAATCTAAAGAGATATCTAATTAATTTGACTAGGTTCTCATCGAATCATACTTTCTGCTCTGCATCTTGCTTTGCACTTTCATCTGCCGGGTTTTTTTTTCTCCCTTAAACAACTGATTCAATTCAGAATTAAAATTAATCTATTATTTACTCAAGTCTCTGATACTCGAATTGATACTCGAATCATAGAGAGTTGAATAGTATATGTTACCTTTTCCCTTGGGAATTTATCTGTAGCACACACTTTCTTCTCACTTGTTTTTAATATTTTTCCCATTATTGTTTATCTAGTTTNCACAACAATTAAAAGACTTATCCAATTGTTTTTTATTCTATTCTCTCAATCTTATTATATTTAGATATCTAACTCTGTAATCAAACTTAAATTTAGTTAGAATAGTTGTTAATTAAGAAATTTTATTTGAGTGATATCCCTGATTTTCTTCATCTATACACGTTGCCTACCATACATAGAAATTCTTATTTTGAAACTCTTAAATTATTTTTCACACACAATCATACATCAAGCCTTCTTTCCCCCATCTGTTCTTTTTTTAAATTAGAAAGGTTTCCGCATAAGTCGAGATCTGTATTTATTTTTAAAATTCTTTTAGTAGCCTCTGGTTTCTTTTGTACTAGATAACTTGACATTGTAATCTCTGTGGATTAACTGCTCACTTTCTATCTATTGCATATTCTTGGTTGGTATTACACCGCACTTAATTATTGCTAATTTGTCTTAATTTGCAATTTCAACCATCTAGAATTAACATCAGTAATCAGTTATATACAAATTAGATTACCTTTTGTTTATTGCTCAAATTGATATTACAGATCCAATTGCATAGATATGGCTGTCAATCAAGGAGCTCAATTACAAGCTTGTGTGACGAAGTAATTGGCATGATATCAATTATCAAGATGGAACCATGGGTCTTTGAAGGTCTTAGAGTCCTGCTTAGTGCCTGAACAAAGAATCCAATCTATTTCTGAAATAAAAAATTTCAAATTTTGACTGCTTTCTGATATACTTGAATTAAATTCTTAGTGTCAACTGCTAACGCTTACTCGGTAACTATTGTTCCAATCTCTGAGTCGTCCTTCACAGACAATTTCTGTTGCCTCCTTAGTTTATGTCAACTAAAAACATTAATCTACCTCCAAACTCTTCAAGTAGAAGTAGTGTTATACCTAGATCACAAGGATCGACTATTAAATGCTGCAGCTATCAAATATATGACAGCGTAACGGTTTTACCTGAATATCATGGACCAATTCAACTTTTGATTAAAAAAAGCGCAATTACATGATTTGTATTTTTCTTTTTCTTCTTAATAATTTTTTTTTTAGTACAACAGAACTCTTCTTCAGATGGATCTTTAAATTTCAGTTTTTTCAGAATTTATGTTTAGCCATTGCAATGAATTTTCAGTTTTAGCTTTTTAGTCTCTACCTTTGCTTCTTTGTGGAATACATTATACTGCTTGCTAGTGTAAAATGCATCTCATTGCATTCTTATAAACAGTCATCTTGCATAGTCTCATAACTTACTTGGCTCTTTTTGTTGGATTTAATCTAATAAATCTATTTGTGGGCACATATGATTAATCAATGTGTATTGCTATCTTTCAGGATAACCCACTGAAGTGATCAATTAAGTTGGGTTAATTTGGTATTTAAATATAATCATGGGGTTATATGTGCAGATACCAGGTTGTAATTGTGATTTATTGAGGGGCTAAATTACAAAAGTACAACATCTATAAATAAGGGGTTATGGTCCCTAACCTAGGGTGACATTCTCTAATTCTCTACACCCCCATCTAGCTAGAGAAATTCGGTTTTAGAGAGAACCCTAAGGTTAGAAGATCCAAAACCCAAAATCAAGATCAAGCAATGGATTCAGGTATAAGCTTCCGCTCTTTTAGATCCTTGTTAATCTCTTTGAATTAATCATGGCTATATGGTTTTAGATCTTAAGTTTTATGATGTAGATCTAACAAGTGGTATCAGAGCCACCTTGATTAATTCTTAGGGATTTAAGTTTTATTGGGTTTTTTGATCTTAAATCTCTGGTTAAAGATTCATTTTTTTTTGGGTTCGGATGAACAGTAAAATTTTTTGGGTTCGGATGAACAGTAAATTTTTTTGGGTTCGGATGAACAGTGATTTTTTTGGGGTTCGGATGAACAGTAACGAAAAGTTTTCGGATGAACAGTAACTTTTTGGAATTTTTTGGATTTTCCTTTGATTTTTTCTTTAATTTTTTCCAATTCTGGATCTGTTTTGAAAATAAAAATCAAAGATTTTTTGGGTTTGACGGCGGCGGTTTCAGTTTGAAACCCTAAGGGTTCATGGCGAAAATTGAGGAGGTGGTTACCTCAAACGAACCTCGCGTTCGTTCAATTTTAACCGAGCTTCGCGCTCAACGAAACTTCGCGTTCGTTATCAAGTAAGCCTCTCGCTCAACGAACTTCGCATTCGTTCTAAGGTGAACCTCGCGTTCAACTCAGGTGAGCGTCAAGCTCAATTTTAACGAACCTCGCGTTCGTTCTAAGGTGAACCTCGCGTTCAACTCAGGTGAGCGTCAAGCTCAATTTTAACGAACCTCGCGTTCGTTCTAAGGTGAACCTCGCGTTCAACTCAGGTGAGCGTCAAGCTCAATTTTAACGAACCTCGCGTTCGTTCTAAGGTGAACCTCGCGTTCAACTCAGGTGAGCGTCAAGCTCAATTTTAACGAACCCAGACGAACCTCGCGTTCGTACTTCAGACGAACCTCGCGTTCGTACTTCAGACGAACCTCGCGTTCGAACTTCAGATGAACCTCGCGTTCATTTTTAAACGAACCTCGCGTTCGTTCCCAAGATTGAACCTCGTGTTCTTTTATCAAACGAACCTCGCGTTCGTTCATTTTCAGACGAACCTCGCGTTCGTGCTTAAAGTGAGCCTCGTACTCAAACAAAGTCGAACCTCGCGTTCGACAGTAAGGGAACTCGTGTTATCATATGGTATAAGCCCTCGCTTTTCATGGTCCACTTGGTATGAGCTTAATTATTCATTAATTATGGCCTAGTTACCAGCTGT